AACTCAAACTCCGCAATGGAGTAGTATCTAAGAAACTTGCTGCTTTCACTGCACTCTACCAGTCACCTTGAATTCCTTCCTACATGGGATCCAAGAAGTGTCTCTTGGGGTCTGAATCAAGACCGCTTTCTGGTAACAATAGCGTCAGAAAAAAAAGAAGAGGAGGAGGGGGAGGAGGAGGAGGAGGAGGAGGAGGAGAAAGTAGAGACAAATCTAATGAGAGCTCTACAAGACTGCCACATCTTTCTATATAGAAAGTTGTAAAATAATAATTAGAGACATTAAAAGAAATCTCTGTATACATATATACCATGAAACACTACGCAGACATAAAAAAGAACTAGATCATGTCCTTTGCAACAACATGGATAGAGCTGGAGGCCATTATCCTAAGTGAATTAATACAGGAACAGAAAACCAAATACCACATGTTCTCACTTATAAGTGAGAGCTAAACATTGGGTTCACATGTACATAAAGAAGAGAACAGTCCCCAAGGCCTATTTGAGAGTAGAGGGTGGGAGAAGGGGTGAGGAAGGAAAAACTTTATATCCAGTGCTATGCTTATTACCTGGGTGACAAAATAATCTGTATGCCAAATCCCTGTGGCATGCAATGCACCTATACAACAAATCTGCCTATGTACCCCGAACCTAAAAGTATTAAGAAAAAGAAGAAAACTTTTATAAATAAAGGGGTATTCCTTGTCTGTGGATTAGTAATAGAATGTTCAAGATTCTAAAGATGTAATTTCTCCCCGGATAGACTACAGAGGCAATGGAGTCCTATCAAAATATAGTAGACTTCTGGTATTTATTTCCTTGCTGATTCTAAAATTTATGTAATATAGCAAAGTACCAAAGATATTCAAGACACCCTTGAAAAATATGGTGGGAGAACTTGCTCTACAAAATATCAGCACTTCTTTTAAAGACAAAATAATTATGACAAGTGCAAGAATAGACAGATGCACTAGCCATTCAGAGACGAAGACCCAGAACATTCCCGAATACACACAAACATTTTACTCAGGACAAAGGTGGCAGCAACATGCAAGGGTTCAAAAAGGACAAGACTTTTCAATAGACATTGCACTGGAATATGTGTTTAAAAACAAGTAAATTGTGACACTCCCTCCAAATACAGCACATGAAAAGCCATTCTGGGTGGATTCTAGATCTAGATAAGAAAGGCAAAATGATAAGGTTTCTAGAAGATGCCATTAAGTAATGTCTACAGTAACCTGGGTGAGTAAACATTTCTTCAAAAGGGCACAAAAGGATTAATAATAAATAAGACTATGTAAAAATTACGAACATCTGTACCTCCAGTCTCTCTCTCTCTCACTATCTTCATCTCTATCTTTAAAAGACATCTAAGACAAACCCAGAGCTTACGTCATACTTAACAGGAAAGACTGAATGTTTTCTTTTGCCCTTTCTGTTCAACATGGCGTTAGATGTTGTAGCCAGAACAATTAGGCAGGTAAAAGAAGTAAAAGGTACCCATCCTGGAAAGAAAGCAGTAAAACTATCTCTATTTGCAGATGACACGAGCTTCTAGGTAGAAAGTACAAAGAAATTCACACACACACAAAAAAACCCCAACTATTGGAACTAATAAACAAGTTCAGCAAAGTTACAGGAATCAATATACAAGAATCTTTTCTCTTTTCTTCTTGAGACAGGGTCTCACTCTGTTGTCTGGCTGGAGTTCAGTGGTGCAAACACAGCTCACTATAGCCTTGACCTCCAGGGTTCAATAGATCCTCTGACCTCAGCCTCCCTCCTGAGTAGCTGAAACTATAGGCGCATGCCACCATACCCTTGCTATTTTTTATATTTTTGGTAGAGACAGGGTTTCATCATGGTGCCCAGGCTGCTCTGGAACGCCTGAGCTCAAGTGATACACGTGCCTCAGTCTCCCAAAGTGCTGGGATTACAGGTGTGTGCCACTATGCCTGGCCTTCCAATCAATATTTAATTTTTATACACTAACAATGAATGTTCTGAAAATAAAATTAGAAAACAATTCCATCTACAATTGTGTCAAAAATAATAAAATACTTAGAAAGTGCAAGACTTCTATGTGGAAACTACAAAGCACTGTCAAAAGAAATTAATGAAGACCTAAATAAATGGAAAGACATCCTATGTTTATGGTTCAGAAGATTTAACCTTAAGGTAGCAATACCTGCAATAGGTAAACAGATTTAGTTGCAATTCACATCCAAATCCCAGATGGCTTCTTTGCTGAAATTGACAATCTGATCCTAAAATTCATACAGAAATCGAAAGACGCTGGCCAGGAATAGAGGCTCACACCTGTAATCCCAGGACTTTGGGAGGCTAGGCAGGCAGATCACCTGAGGTCGGCAGTTAGAGACCAGCCTGGACATCATGGCAAAGCCCTGTCTCTACTAAAAATACAAAAAGTAGCCAGCTGTGGTGGCATGTGCTTGTAATCACAGCTACTCAGGAGGCTGAGGCACGAGAATTGCTTGAACCTGGGAGGTGGAGGAAACAGTGAGCTGAGACCGTGCCACTGCACTCCAGCCTGGGTAACACAGCAAGGCCCTGTCTTAAAAAGAAGAAGAAGAAGAGAAAAGAATCAAAAGATACAGATCAGCCAAAACAATCTTGGAAAAGAAAAAATTGGAGGACTCACATTTCCTGACCTCAAAACTTATTACAAAGCTACAATGATTGAAACAGTGTGGTACTGGCATAAGAATACACATATATTCCAACGCAATGGAACTGAGAAACCAGAAACTGATTTCTGGATCAACTGATTTTCAACAAGTGTCCCAAGACAATTCAATAGGGAAAGAATTGTCATTTCAACAAATGGTACTGGGACAACTGGGTATCTAAATGTAAAAGAAGGGGCCCCTACCTCACACCATATACAGAAATTAATGCAAAATAGAACAAAGGCTTAAATGTAAGTGCTAAGACTACAGCAAAATCTTAGAAATCATAGCTGTAAACTTTGTCTTTGGATTAGACAATGGTTTGTTAGGACACCCAAAGCATAAGCAACAACAAAGTAGATAAACCAGACTTCATCAAAATTACAAACATTTTTTGTTGCAAGGGACACTATCAAGAACAAGGAAAAAACTCACAACATGGAAAAATTATTTGCCAATCTTGTATTTCATAAGGGAAGTGCAAATCACATCTGATAAGGGAATTGTATATTGAATACTCACATCTCAATAACGAAAACACAACCTAAATTTTAAAATGGGCCAAGGATCTGAATAGACAGTTCTCCAAAGGAAATATACAACAAGCACATGAAAAGATGCTCAACGTCCTTAACCATTAGGGAAACACAAATCAAAACCACAGGGAGATACCACTTCACATCTGCTGGACTAAAGACAGAGGTTGGTGTGCACACGGAGAAAATGGAACCCTCATACCCCACTGGCTGGTGGGATTCCACTTGGGAAGCAGTCTGGCAGTTCCTCACAAGGTTAAGCACAGTAGTCACCTACGATCCAGCCATTCCACTCTTAGGTACAGTGAAAACATTGCCACACAAAAACTCATACAGGAATGTCCTTGCAGCATTATTCATGATCGCTAAAAAATGGAACAACTCACATGTCATCAACAGATGAATGGATAAACAATATTTGGCACTGCCATGCAGTGGAATATTATTTAGACACACAAAGGAATAAAGTTCTGATGCAATCTGCAGCACAGACGCACCTTGAAAACACCTACCGAAAGGAGCCCCCACAGAGACCACCTGGCGTGTGACTCCATTTCCATGAACTTCCAGAAATCGCAGGGTGGTGGTTCTATGTGTGGGGGTGCGGGAGAGGGAATGGGGGTAGCTACCGATGAGAACAGGGTTTCTTTTGAGGGTAGTGAACACAACTTCGTTAATATACTAAAAAACTGTGGAACTGTACACCTTAAATAATGTGAGTTTTATGGTATGTGAACTGCATCTTAAGCTATTATTTTAAAAATTTAAAAAGCAAGCTGAGCAGCCTGGCCAACATGGTGAAACTCCGTCTGTGCTGAAAATACAAAAATTAGCCGAGTATAGTCGTGCGTGCCTGTAGTCCCATCTACTCGGGAGGCTGAAGCAGAAGAATCGCTTGAACCCGGGAGGTGGAGGTTGCAGTGAGATGAGATCATGCCACTGCACTCCAGCCTGGGCGACAGAGCAAGAAAAAAAAAAAAAAAAAAAAAAAGCAAGGTGCGGTTTCCAAACTGCAAGGTTTTGAAATCTCTACTGCGATTGTAATGGTAACACGGTCCTTGCAATGTGATAATGTCCCAATAATTTATCTTTATAAACATTTTAAAACCTTAACAAGTCCTTTCTCCGCCTTTGTTCCACTTGCGCCTCCTTGCCCCTCTCCCCCGGGCTCCTCCTCCCGGCTGGCCCTCCCCGCTGAAGTCACGGACGCGCTCAGCTGGCCCCGGGGTCTGGGTGCGCCCGCCCTGCCCGCAGTCGGCGAGGGACCCTGGGGGGTCTGCGGGGCGGGCCCAGGGGCAGCCGCGGGGACCTCGGGGCGCGTGCAGACCCCGCCCTCAGCGACCGGCCGCAGATTCCAGCCCACCTTGGAGACCTGTGGAGCCAGGGGCGGAGAGAGGAGGCGCAGGAGGACCCGCGACACAGCTCGGGATCCGCGCGCGCTGGGCCTCCGGCGCAGCTGGTGGGGTTCGGGAGGCCGGGACCCTGCCCGGGAGATGTGGACGCCGGGCGGACCCCCGGGGCCCGCGAGCTGGGACCGCCGTAGGTTGGGCGCGAGGTTGCGCGCGGCGTTCGCGGGGCTGCAGGAGCTCCAGGGGCTGCGCGCCACGCAGCAGGAGCGGGTACGGGGCGCCCTGGCCCTGCAGCCCCCGCCCGCGCCCGCCGCGCCCTGCGGTCCCCACGGTCCCCACGGCCCCGAGCAGCAGCTGGAGGCGGCGCTGGCCGCGCTGCAGGAACAGCTGGTAAGGACCGGGCGCCGGGACTCGGGGCTGCGGGGTTTGTGGGCCACAGGCGCTGCTCCCTCCCGGTGCCGGCCGAGACTGTGTGTTAGTGGGAGGGGGGCGTCTGATGGATGGAGGGGACGTCCTTTGGGATTTGATTGGAATGCAGTTGGGTCTCCAAGGAGGGGGACGCGGAGGCCCCGCGCGCAGGTGCCTAGAGGTGAAGCACACAGATGAGGACCCTGAAAACTGCCCGGGGCTGCAGCCCGCGCTCCACCCTGCGGGGATGTGCGCCCACCCACGCCAGGATCCCGAAACTGGCAGATTTGGGGGAGACACCCTGTTGGTTAGTTACAGCAGTGTTCTGACCTACGGGTACTGACCGGCTTTCCCCGGGCGGAGGTGGGCTCGGGACCCTGGCATCACTTCCCTGGGTACCAGGTCCCCCCTGCCGTCTTGGGTTAGGGGCAACAGTGTCCGCGTGGTAAAGCGCACCCCGACTTGTCCTCAGGAATGTGCTGACGTTTCTTACAGGTCGCGTCGCTGTAATAAAGTATTGGGGGAAAGCACGTCGCTGACAAAGGCCTCTTCAACTTTAAAATGTGACCTGACCTGTAAGAAGAGGCGTGTCCTCTGATCCAGAGGAAAGACTCTTTGATTTCCTTGCCAGGGGCCCTCCTCAGCACTACCTGGACGCTCTGAACCCCTCCTTTCACACAATGAAAGAAACTCCAGTCATTACCCCTCTGCTTATTATGTTATTGTATGATTTTGTAAAATTTACTGGAAACAACGCACAAGAGTTTTCATAGTTGCTGTATTTTCTTAAAGACAAACTAAAAAGGCTAGAGAAAGATATCTGTTTACTCGTGTTACCTCTATTACACTAAGTGAAATTTCTTTTACATTAGAAATTTAAGTCTGTCCTGTTAAAAGTTGCTGCCTCTGAACGTTGCCCACGTGAAGCTGTGGCATGACCGTCAGCCTAGCTGGCTCAGCCAGGTTGTTAAAGTAGCAAACCCTTCTGGATTAAAGAATCCCAGTGTCTGGGATGCCTCCCAGGATCCCGGTTATCTCCTGACCTTGTGGAAGACGGAGGTGGCAGACTGTGTGGGATTAACCTGGGCTCCCAACTCTGCCCCTGATGCCTCCTGAGAGGAAAGTAGCTGGTGTACAGACTTTGTTTACTCACCCAGTGACCAAATCCTGACCGTGTGTTTAGGTCATTTGTGTGTTTGCACCCAGACACAATCTCAGCTTCTGCTCAGCACGCGACAGCCACAGATGTGTTAGACGCATGTGATGGGAAGGGGGTGCTGCTGAGATGCTGGCTTCAACTGCTCCGTCGAGGGGGTGCGAGTGCAGGTGATGATTAACTTGGCTTAAGAAATATACAAATCAAACTTGCAAGTGCTCAGCCTCTAATTACAAGTAGCCTTTTGGAAGAGAAGATCAAACAGGTTTTTTTGTTTATTTTATTATTATTTTTTTAATGTGGGGACCAGAAGGAACATGCAGACTTTGTCTTGAAACTTTGTTCTCGGGATGGATTATGTGATCAAAAGAGAAGAATAATTGAATTTGTGTGACATCAGCCCAGGGCTTAACACTTTCACATTTTTCTTACAGGGAAAAACATTAGAAGTGATAGCAGTTCTATAGTGTTGAATACAATGAAAAGCCTTGCTTGCTGGAGCAGTTACACACTCCAGCAACTCCCACCTAACTCAGGGTCCCCTCCGCCCACCCTGGTGCTCACCTGGCCATTGGTCATCATTCAGGTGTGAAGGCAGGAAGAACATTTATCAGGCCCTGAGCAGCTTTAGCCTACGGGAATTCTCAGGTGAGAATGATTGTTGGCATTTCCAGGGATTTAAACAGTCAGGAAAATAGCAGCACTCATCACTTCAAGGCTTATCGCAATGTGCTGCACCTTTTTAATTGCTGTGTCACAAAGGAGAGTGCAGTAGGCGGTGCTTAGTAGGATTCTGTTGAATAAATAAATGAGTGGCTTTTATTGCTGCAACAAAAGGGAAAATGATTTCAGAATTTGGGATCTTCCTGTTCTGAGTTTCTAAGCTGATGAGATCCCCATGCCCTCCGACCCAAGTGGGTTTGCTGCTGCGTGGCCAATCCAGAGAGGGTTCACTCTGCGTCCTCATGTATGTTTGTGAGGAAGGTTGTCGTTCCCAAGAAGTGCCGGCCATTCCCATATTCATAAGGGTTGGGTTCCCCAACAAGCCCTAGATAGAAAGACTGCATCCACTTCCTGGAACTCGAAGCCCACGTGGAGACCAAAAACCCCATCCTTCACCAGTGGGTACTGTCTCCACAAGGGGAGAGATGCAGAAGAGCTCCGGGAGTCTGCAATGAAATCTTATCCGGAAGAATTTCCCCATCTTGACATTGCTGGTCGTGACTTGTTCTAAAAGTGGCAGCTTGCAACGATTCCTTTTCCCTGGCAGCTTCCCACATTCCATGCTGCAGGAGCAAGCTGTACGTCTGATTCTGCAGCATAAACTTGATGCCCGGCATTTTCCTTGGGCCGACTGTGCTTGCTTTGTGAACACACAGGGGAACCAAGGGAGGCAGGGTGATAACTTGCTCAAGGCCACGCATTAGGGCCAGCCATCCCCAGAAACCTGCAAGGCTTCGGTGGTGCTTTTTAATCCGTGAGTCCAGTCTGTGAACCAGGGACCCCTTTGCTGTTGATTGACAGGCCTCTTTTAAACTTAGGTAATAGCATTTACCTCTCTCCAGAATGGAGGGCATAGCCTTGGCATTCAGGCATAGAACGTTTCCTTTGTGCGTTCTAGCTCTCAGGGATAGAAAGGAGGTGTTTCAGATCCCATCTCCGTATCCTGAACAGTAAGGCCTTTTTCATGTTGATCCTCCGCATGTGCCATACAGGTGTTGCGATGGCTGGACTGTTGACTTGCACACGGAAAAGGCACAGCACGTGGAAATCAGGTCATTCTCTTGCAGTGCATAAAGAATGCATTTCAAAGAAAGGGATTAGCCTTTTTTTTTTTTTTTTTAAAGCACCCCCTGGAATAGAAGTCCTCAAACTTTTTGTTGTCATAAGGAACTTTTGTGGTCCCTGGGAAGCTTGTTAAAATGCAGGTTTCCAGGCTTACCGGGTAGGGTCTCAGGAAATGAGTGGGGCCTGGAGCCTGGGGTCTGCAGGTATGCCCAGCTGATCCCACTGCCTGGAGAGGCTTGGTATGAGCGCCTTTATACCAGGCCCTCCTGCCCCTTCCCCAGGCCCAGGGCTTTGGCACAGATGCCCCCAGAGCACACTTTGGCCAAGGTTGCCTGGAGTTAGCCTGAACGCTTGCAGAGGGCCGCCTGGAGTTAGCCTGAACGCTTGCAGAGGGAAGTAGGCACGGAGGCCACCCAGGGCTCGCTTGCTGCTGTGGAGTGAGTCAGTCCAATCGTGGACATGCGTGGAGATCACACTCTGGGGCTGGCCTTGCAGTGGACTTTCCTCCTGCCTGGCCGCATATATTTTGTGACGTGAGCACAAAGTCTAACCCTAAGAAAGAGTTAATGTAAAGCACAGTCATACAAACCCCAAGTTAGGGACAGCAGTCGGGGTTAGGGACAGTGGTCAGGGTTACAGGCAGGGAGTAAATCCTGAATGGTGGAGTCCTGCAGACGCAGAGGGGACCTGAGGACGTAATAAATAACCTGTGAGTGCCTGAGAGCTCTGTGCGTCCTGCAGCCCCTAGACCATTAATCAGAAACCAGCAACTGAAGGCCTGGCTGGCCAAACATTAATCACAAAGCAATTAACCCGGCACAGACACGGGGGCGGGAAGGGGGCTGGAGGAGGAGGAGGACAAAGCTGGCTGGGGTGCAGGAGAGTGTGATTTGGAAGAGGAGAAGGCACATAGATCCTTTTAAACGTTGAGGTGTGGCCTCACCAAGGAACTTGATTTTCTGTCGGTACCTTGGGTTTTGTTTTACGACAGGAAAAAGAAAAATCATGGGCTATGAGAATCCACGCCGGCCCCTTTGTTTGGATCCAGGCTTCCTCTTTGCATAACTGGTGTGGGAGAGCCCGCCTGTGTGTGCTGCGCAGGCTTGGTTGGTGGTGCTGTTCACTTGGATAGCGGTTTACCTGTGTGAAAATGTGCAGGGTCAGAAACCAGTATGTTTACATGAAGCTGGGTGATGCTGGAAGCATAACGTTTTGATTAAATTCAAGATTGGTTTTTGCCATGTTCACATTCACAGATAATATTATGGCTTCAGATTCTGTCACTGTGCAAACTTTGGAGGTTTTTGGGAGGCCCCGGAGTTGGGTCCTGGAGGAGGAGGTCTGCTCCTGGCACAGAAGCTGTGCGCTGGGTCGAGCCCGGCCTCCATTCCCTCATCCATGCTGATAGTGGGCACTTGCGTTTGGAAAATCGGAGAAGTCTTTCTCTCATCAGAACAGGAAAGCATTGCAACCTGCCTCTGTCTTGTAATGATTTCTCATATTGTGGAAATTACTGAAGTAATTCCCCGAGGCCCAGGTTATGGGACTCAGGGGAACTGCTCCTTTCCCACGTAAAATTTGAAATAGAATTAATCATTTTCTTTTTTTTTTTTGAAACGGAGTCTGGCTCTGTTGCCCAGGCTGGACTGCAGTAGCCGGATCTCAGCTCACTGCAAGCTCCACCTCCCGGGTTCACGCCATTCTCCTGCCTCAGCCTCCCGAGTAGCTGGGACTACAGGCGCCCGCCACCTCGCCCGGCTAGTTTTTTGTATTTTTTAGTAGAGACGGGGGTTTCACTGTGTTAGCCAGGATGGTCTCGATCTCCTGACCTCGTGATCCACCCGTCTTGGCCTCCCAAAGTGCTGGGATTACAGGCTTGAGCCACCGCGCCCAGCCAGAATTAATCATTTTCTTAAGAGAACCAACCACATAATTACATTCATTAATTATTTGCCTTAATCGTGATTGTTCATCAAAACAAGAAATGTTTTAGAATTGAAAGAAAAACACACACACATGCTCATAATAAGCTTTTTAGAGTTGGGGAAGTTGAGGCCGGGAGAAGGCACAGCCTCTCAGGGCAGGGCTGTGATAGAAACTTCTAAATACACAGTCCCTTGGCCAGGCACATGCCTGTAATCCCAGCACCTTGGGAGGCCAAGGCAGGTAGACCACTTAAGCCTAGGAGTTGGAGGCCAGCCTGGGCAACATGGCAAGACCCCATCTCTACAAAAAATACATAATTAGCAGGGCATGTTGGTGCATGCCTGTAGTCCCAGAGACTTGGGAGGCTAAGGAGGGAGGATCACCTGAGCCTGGGGAGGTGGATGCTGCAGTGAGCAGTGATCGCACCACTGCACTCCAGCCTGGGCAACAGCGCAAGACCCTGTCTCCAAAACAAAACAAAACAAAAGATCCTGAAGGCTGATTTTCACACTGCATTTACTCCAGGTAAAGCTGACAGTTTCCATGTTTTGCTGAGAACCTTCTCCCCTGGCAGCTCTGCCAAAGCCTGTAACAGTTCAAAATGTTACTTCTTCTATCAGGGAAGGGGAAGGGACTTATTAGTGAAGGAGGAGCTTTTCTTTCTTTCCAAGGGACTTTCTTACCTTCTTGAAAAGTCAAAAGGTTTGTGCTCTGCAGGCACCAGGAGCCCAGAGGCGGCCGAGTAAAAGGACGCCACCGCACCCAGGCACAAGATGCGTAAAGCATTACCACAGGAGGGTAAACCCTTATGCTGGCTGAAAAACGCAGCCAAATAGACGGTGCAGGTAGTTCCTGTCTGCCAAAAGGAGGTGTTGCTTTTGATCCTGATTTCAGTCTCATAAGCTGTAGTATACTGTATCCTTATAAAGAAATGTAATTTGGAAAGTGCGGATAAGTGAAGCAGCCTGAACTGGAGAAAACCCGTGTGCGTGTGTGTGGGGGGGGAATGGGTCAGTAGACCTTTCTTTTTCTGACGGTGGAGCAAGGAAATGGCTTCAGAATGAGCAGGCGCAGCAGCCAGATTTAGAAGATGTGTTTCGTGTGGACTCGGGGAGTTCAAATTACATTCACAATGCATGGTTCACCCCTTTGAGCCTTAAGTTTTGGTTTCCGTAGGTACAATAGTTCCCTTTCTCTTCTTTCCCTTCTCAGTCCCGGCTGAGACAGCAGGACATCGGCCTGAAGACCCACCTGGACCAGCTGGACCTGCAGATCAGCAAGCTGCAGCTGGATGTGGGCACAGCCTCAGGGGAGGCCCTGGACAGCGACAGCAGGCCCAGCTCAGGTACCAGGGTGCCCTGACCTCCTGGACACAGGGGCAGGCATGCAGCCCAGGCAGAGGTGAAGCCTGTCCCGCCAGTCCCTCTCGGGCTGAAATTCCGTTCCACTGCTCTCCCGGTGTCCGTGCAGGGAGGCGGCCGCTTCATCAGGCCGATCTGAAAGTCAGGAGGCGACACCGAAGCCTTTCTCAGGGCATATATATTAATTGGCTACCTCGCTCTTATTTTTTTAATTTGCAAAAATCACACTGTGGTCTAAGTGACATTGTTGGACTCAGGAGGCCTGGGGCTGAAGCACCTCCCCAGCCTGGTCTCCTTCTCAACTTGGCAGGCGCCAGGGAAGAGAGAGAGACAGGGGCCAGGGGCCTGTCCTAAACAGGCTGAAATCCAGAGGAAGAGGCCACCCCTTAGGCAGGCATCGACCACCCAGGACTAAAGGGACCACTTGCCAGGAAAAGGGAGGGCCAGTGCTGCTGAGTGGGGGTGGAGCGGGCTCTCATCAACTCACTGACAGCCCCCGAGAATAATCCTGAACATCTTCACCTGAGCCACACTCTCCCAGGCCGGCCGTGTGGACGACGGCCCACAGCCTCTGGTAGCCTCAGCTCAGGGGTTCCCCTGGGCCCCCCTGTGCTGTGACAAGCTCAGGAGCAAAGGGGTCCCTGGGCTCTTCTGGATGGGAGTCACTGACCTGCCTTGTCTGCTGTGTCCAGGCTTTTACGAGATGAGTGACGGTGGATCCTGCTCCCTGTCCACGTCCTGTGCCTCTGTCTGCAGTGACCACATCTCCCCCTCGCTGGGCAGTTTGTTGCCTATGGCCCAGGCCCCCAAGGCCAGGCCCAGCATGGGGGACTGGAGGCCCCGGTCGGTTGATGAGACTACTGTGCCAGCGTGGAGACCCCAGGCTACCGAGGAGGGCACCAGGCCCCGGGGCAGCATGGAGAATGCAGGCCAGCCGTGGGGCACATTCTGGCCCAGGCCGGTGTCTACAGGTAAGAAACCGCCAGGGAAGGTGGGGGTCTCATCTCAGGCACAGGGGAGGACGAAGTGCAGTCCCCAGCTGTTGAGGGCAGAGCCAGGGACCCCACATGGGCGCACCCCAGGCTCTAACGGATGCTGGAAGGCCTCCGTGGGCCCTGTGGTGGTTTGGATGGAGGCAGGAATCAAACGTGGCCATGTGCATCACCACTGGCTCTTCTAACACACAGCACTTTTCCCTGTATTTAAAATGGACATCTGCAAGCTTAAAAACAATCCTTCAAAAACCCTAGATCCACTGGTGTTTGCAGGGAGAGCGGGGTTGAAGGTGCTGGTGGGGAGAAAACAGGGCTCATGCCTGGATCCCACCCCCTGGCGCGGGAGGGGCTGTAGTTGTCTTCAGACTGTCTCCAAAGGCACAGATGTCATTTTTGGCCTTGTTTTATTTCTAATACAAGGCCTGGTTTAGTAACAACCATTTGGTCTTTTCTTACCGAGAAGCCCCGTGGTTTCCTCCAGGGCATCTGCAGGGACTAGCTTCATGCCTCTGGCCTCCCTCCAGGCTCCATCCACCGCTGCGGGGCCTCTTCAGCCTCCAAGCCTTCAGGGAAATGAGGGCGCTGAACTGAGGACTCTTACTCCCCATGCGTTCTCCTTCAAGGGGAAGGATGAGAATGAGCTGAGGGGGCTGTGCCGCAGGCACAAACAGTGCCCCGCACCCTGTGTCTAGACGCAGACGGGGCCCTGCGCCCTCTGTCTAGATGCAGATGGGGCCCCGCCGTGCCTAGATGCGGACCCCGGTGACTGGAGTCGCCGTCTCCCATGGGACCCAGGAGTTCCTCCAAGCAGTGAAGGAGCAGCGCTTCCTTCCTGGCTGCATTTCATGCATGAAGTGAAATCAACAGCACACGAAATCCTCTCTGTGTCACGTGTTTGTTCATTTTTCTCGTTCCTAGGTGATCTTGACAGAGCCCTGCTGGCAGACACGGGGCTCCAGAAAGCCAGCGCCGATGCTGAGCTCCTCGGGCTCCTCTGCCAGGGGGTGGACATCCCGCTGCACATGCCAGACCCCAAGTATCGGCAAGACCTGGTGTCCCAGGGCGGCAGGGAGATGTACCCGTACCCCAGCCCCCTGCACGCCGTGGCTCTGCAGAGCCCCCTGTTTGCCCTGGCTAAGGAAACCCCACAGAGCGGTGGTCCCTCGTACCCCAGGAAGACCCCCCTAGGCCCCGCAGGTCTGAACACCATCCAGACTGGGCCGGTCCTCGAGGCTGGTCCGGCCAGAGCCAGAGCCTATATCGACAGGCTGCTGCATCTGTGGGGCCGGGAGACCCCAGCAAAGGGTAGCGGGGGAGAACAGGGACCTCTAAGGCATGCAGCGTCCCCATCCCCACAGAGGCAGGGTGGCTGGAGTACAGATGGTGGGGGGCGACTATTGGTCTTCGCCCCAGGGAGGGAGGATGAAGGAGGGCCAGCTCAGAGCAGAGGTGCCGGCAGGGGCCCCCAGCAGCAGGGATCCATGCCTCTTGAGGGTCCCCAGCACGCTGGCAACCTTCCAGAGGAGGGCTCCAAGCCCTCGAACAGCTGCGTCCTCAGGGAGACCATGGCGTGGCCCTCTCTCAGCTTGAAGGCCCAGCAGACACCCCCAGCTCAGGACTGTGGACGAGGCAACGTCATATCCCCATCCAGGATGCTGGACAAGAGCCCCTCACCGGCCTCTGGGCACTTTGCCCACCCGTCCTTTGCTGCCAGTCTGAAAATGGGTCCCCCCAAGAGCAAGGCCGAAAAAATCAAGAGAAGGCCCACGGACAAGGTGCTGAGGTTTGCAAGGCAGCCGCCGCTTCTACTGGAGAGGCCTGAGGGAGCCCATGCAGCCCCCCAGCCGTCCCTGGAGTGGGACCCGGCCCACTGGTCCCCAGGGAGGGGTGGGCTCCCGCGGAGGCCGGCCCTGGCCTGGGAGGCACCCGGGCGCTCCTGTTCCGAGTCTACCCTCTACCCCATGCCTGTCCTCGTCCCCGTGGCGGTGGCCCCGCAGGAGGGCCACCAGACCTCAGCCCAAGCCCTGTTCCCCTTTGAGGCAGCACTGCTCACCTCGGTGGCTAGGAGGAAGCATCGCCGCTGGCAGTCCACCATGGAGATCTCAGCCCGGGCCCGCCTGGCCAGCTGTCCCGAGTCTAACCTGGGGCCCCCCAGGCCAGTGGCCAGAAGAGCAGGTGGCCCACAGGCCCGGGGCCGGCCCTTGCTGGTCCGCCAGGATGCCCAGACCAGGAGCAACTCAGAGCCCTCCAAGCACTCGGCCGAGTGTGACCCGAGGTTCCCCTCAGTCATCCCGGAGACCAGCGAGGGGGAGTCCAGTGACCACACCACCAACCGATTCGGAGATCATGAATCCAGCAGCAGCGACGAGGAGGGCAGCGCCCAGAGCAGGGACTGTGACCTGGCACTGGGCTATGTGGCGGCCGGGCACACGGAGCTGACCTGGACCCAGGAGGTCCCGGTCAGCTCGGGGCCACTCCTGTCCCCCGTGCCCAAGCTGTGCCGTATTAAGGCCTCCAAGGCCCTGAAGAAGAAGATCCGTAGGTTCCAGCCGACGGCCCTGAAGGTCATGACCATGGTGTGAGGCGCAGTGACTGCATCAGGAGAAGCCTGCTGCACACCGGAGCCCTTTCCCCGCAGCGTCCTGTGCATGTCTGGGTTTCAGTGTCATCTCGCCAAGCCGCTTTATCTTCCGAGGCCACCATTTAACAGGAGTCCCCTCCTGTTACATGCTCTGCCCGTGGAGTACGCCGTGAGTCCCCGCCCCAGCAAAGACTTCCATGCAGAGCTCTGGTTTCAGATGCCAGCAGCCTCCCCGGCCGACCTAGCGTCTCTTTTCAACGTCTGCCCAGGATACTGCTTCCCGGCAGGCATCTTGTTTCCACCTTGTCATCCTCCCATGGCCTTCCCCTGCCCTCACTCCCCTCTGGCTGGGGACGCGTTTCCCAATCCTTTGACCATTCCTCCCCAAAGGCGTTTTAAAGAGGCGGTTGCAGGACTCCGTGCTGGAAATTGAATTGGAGTTTAAACTCCACGTTACGCTGTCAGCGTACACAGACACCCAAATTATGCCATGATCTCAAATAAAAGGAACTTTTTTTTCCCTCTTAACTTCCTCCTCCCTGTTTCCTTGGGTGGCACATGGTAGGGGCACCATCATCTTCATGCCTGCCCATCACAGGGCACACACCAGCTTTGGGCGGGGAGGGCACCTTATGAGTGAGTAGAGACTAAACTCTGGTTTTAGTATAAAAAGTAGGGCATAGGCCGGGCGCAGTGGCTCATGCCTGTAATCCCAGCACTTTGGGAGTCTAAGGCAGGCGGATCATAAGGTCAGAAGATCAAGACCATCCTGGCCAACATGGTGAAACCCCCATCTCTACTAAAAATACAAAAAACAGAAATAAAAAAAATTAGCTGGGTTTGGTGGCACGCACCTGTAATCCCACCTACTCGGGAGGCTGAGGCAGGAGAATCACTTGAACCTGGGAGGTGGAGATTGCAGTGTGAGGAGATTGCGCCACTGCACTCCAGCCTGGGTGACAAGAGCGAAACTCCATCTCAAAAAAAAAAAAAAAAAAAAAGTAGGGCATAAAAGTGTTTTTTTTTTTTTTTTTTTTTGGTGTTTACTTTTCCAAATGGAATTTTCCTCAACTCTTCAAGAAGAAAGATAGCAGTGCTTTCAGGTAAGCTGCCTGGTGAGGGTCACAGTATTTTCACATCAGAAAGCAGCTTTCTCCTGAAAGATAAGAATTTGACATGAAGGTGGAGAAGGCCATTGAAGCCCCCCATGGACATCCTGGGCCCCTTAGGGCAGATGCAACTGGGCAGGATCGTGGAAGGAAGCCAGTCAGAAAACCAGCGGAAGACGGGAGTAGATTTGGAAGGAGGCGTGAAATATTCCTGGAACAAGGAGTTGGTTTTAGATGCCTATAGGGAACTTCACGTCTAGAACAAAGTGGAGGTGAGGGGGAGGCTGCTGCTGAGCTCCCTGACAGTGAAGACAGTGGGGGCAGGGTCTGTTCTCTGTGCAAAACGCAAGGAAATGCAAGCATTTCCAGGGGCCAGAGCAGACAGATTCAAACACCCATTGAGTTCGTCTGTGTGCAGTTTCACCTGCCCTTCCTGAAATCTGCTTCCGAACAGAAGGCCAGAATCTTCCTCAAGCTTTCTAAAAACCTGCATTGAAATTTCAAAGGATGATTCAAACCCACGCACGGATGGGGGTTTTACTGTAAAAGTTAATTCACAGGGTATTTTATAAAAATGGCAACATTTTTAGAATGAAGCGTGGCTTCTCCAGGACCACTGAGCAGGTGAGGTTGTGACGACTGCCCCGTAGCCTGAGTCCCCGTCCTCACTCAGGACTGTGGGCCCAGCCTCAGTCCACGCATTTTTTTGTAGCTGACCATGCTGAAGACATGGCTAGGAAGTTCATATAAGTCATACATTCTGGTCATTCACTGGGGCTTTCCGCAGGAGCTCTGAGTGCACTATCCAGAAAGAGCAAACTTCCTTTTCATCCGCTATGGTGACCTAGCTTGTATCACAGCTCTTGGTTGCTCAGACTCCACGTTGCAAGCAACGATGACAGGGAATCAGCCCAGAAGGGGAGTGAGTGCAGTGGGTCTGGGCTTCTCAGGGTTTTCTGACAGTGCCTGTCTTTTTTAGAAAGCTGGGCGTGGTTTCCTAACCATTCAGATTCCAACGTGCAGCCTGAGGGGTGCATTCCAGCCAATCAAATCCAAATCCCGGCCTGCTCCACACAGCCCTGCAAACTGACCAGGAGAACCATGCAGACTCCAGACAAAATGCAGCCATCACATCGGGGGCGGGAAGGGTCCTCAGTAATCTGACAGTCCAAATCAATCAATCAATAGTTCTCTTTCCCTTCTCTATCCATCCTCTCTTTCTCAATAATGTGCTCTCTGGCTCTTACTTTCTCTCTCTCTCCCTCTCTCAAGCTCTCTCTCTCTCTCCCCCTTTTTAACTGTGGAGGCCCAAACATGCATTTCAGTTTGCCCCAGGCCCAAGGCCTTGCCAGGGCTCTTCTACTCTCCAGTAGGTTTGGAGTAAATAAGTAGAATTCTCACAGATTCCATGGGGGTCCTCGGAGGGTCCCCCAGCCCTCCTGCCCCGTCTGCCCAGCACCCCGACTCCTTGGCTCTGCTCAGTACTCTGCAGGACCAGGCAGCCCAGGACTTGAGGACTGCTCTGGCTCCAGTTCCCATCCCGCTTGGCCCTGGTCATAGCCTGGCTGAGTCAGCATCCCCCTTCATCGAACGAAGCTGATCGCGCCTCAGGGTTTGGAAGGAGGCGTAAGCTGGCAGTTTGAAAAGGGACCCACGTCTGTCTGTGCTCCCCAAAGTAGGGACAAGGGGTGAGTCGGCCCAGGTTGTGGCCTCCCTGTAGTGTGCAGAGTTGGTGAGGCTCCCTGACCCCTCTGCAAACATCGCCCAGGCACCACCAGGAAGACCGAGCAGATGCCACATGCAGGCCTAGGGCAGATAGCAGCCTGGGGAAAAGCTGTAAAACACAGAGCTAACCATTAGAACGCCGGTCATTAGAAGCCCGTTTTTTGAGAGGGCTGACAACAGGGTGCTGCTGGCTGTGGCAGAGTCTTAAGCACCGTGAATTCAGAGAACAGGGATTTGCAAGAAGTCTGGGTGGCCAAGGCAGACGCGCAGAAAGAGGATGGATGGATTCGCCCCGTGGTGAACATTCATCTCCTGAATGTCTTATGTTCTGTGCATATTTTTCCTCTAAACCAACATGATGGAAACCACTCACACGGAAGCAGAAATGAACCAGGAAGCCCATCGAGGCAGAGCGTGGCCTGTCATATGAGGGGGTGTGATTGATTAGATGACGGGGGCAGCTTTCAAGTGCATTGGAAGACGGAGGAGCTGTTTCCTTCTCTCTCAAGGGATTAAAAAGTAGACAATGTAGAATTTGACTTCCGGGGCCTTTAGGACTAACTTCTAGCATGCTTACGATAAAAATATTTTAACAAAAATAAAAATAACAGGATAAAATTGCTCTTTATCCGTTCTATCCTAAAATATCCTCTTCTACAATAAAAGGATAAAGAATTAAAGTTAAGCTAAAGTAAAAAATATGTCAGGAATTCTAAATTATAAGGATGTGTGAAAGATTTAATTATAATATTAGGGAAAATGTCCCAACCTACTTTAGCAAATCATACGTTATCACTGAAGAAAACAGAGCATATCATTACTGATTAAATTCAGGAAGGTAAGTGAGTGCCCTAGCAAAGCTTTCTCTCTGCATCCTCCTGCATCCTCCTGCATCCTCCTGCTCCAGCTTGTAGGATAATAAAAGCCTGTCTTGGTCCATTTTGTGTTGCTGTAACAGAACTGAGTAATTGAAAAAGAAAAAAAGGCCTATTTGGGTGACTGGGAAGTTTGAGACAGGCAGCTGCATCTGATAAGGCGTTTATGCTGCTTCTACCCATGGCAGAAAGCAGAAGGGGACCGGGAGTGTGCAAAGAGACACACGGTAAGAGAAGAAGCAAGAGAGAGAAGCCGAGGAAGCCATTCTTTTAAACACCTGCTCTCTTGGGAACCAGGCCATTCCCCCAGAGCGAGAACTCACTTAGCTCTGAAGGACTGTGTTGGTCTATTAATGAGGCCCCCATGGCCCAGACACCTCCAGGCCCCACCTCCCAACACCACCACACTGGGGATCAAATTTAAAATTTTGGCAGAGGTTTTGGTGGGGACAAACCACATGCAAACTACAGCAGAGCCCTCTTAGGATAGAATCCGAGGTTCTGTACAGTTACTGGATCCTAAACATGAAATACATAAAGTCTGATGAAAAACAGTAGTGCATCTGGAATGGATTTAACGCAGTCCCACTTTACAGGTCAAGTATTTATTTAATATCTGTGAATAAATGAAAGATCAGTGAAAAAAGGGAAAATTATTATATCTACAGATTCTATGTGGCTTTAAGGTGATGGTGCCTAGTTTATAAATGGTTGATAAAAAACATACTTATTTTTAAAGATTAAAGTCCGCAGGAATTTGTTGACTGTCTTTTTCAATCACTTGCGTAGTTGACCCTCCCTGCTAGGCTTCGAAATGATGCTGTAAACCAGACCTGTTCACACACCGGGGCCCTCAATCTTGTCACTTGGGCCCCGCCACTATCCAGCAGATACAGCCCTTTTCAAAGGGGGCTTGGCCGGTGAAAGCCACACACAGGGTCGGTTCTTTCATTCACTCAGTTACCAAACGTGCTGAGCTCACTGGGTGACTGCCTGTGCAGTCACGGTTGGGAGGTGCCGACAGGAAGGGGCTCCTCCCCTCCTCTCCTGAGCACTGGGGCTCCTCCTTCCTTTCCTGAGCACTGGGGCTCCTCCCCTCCTCTCCTGAGCACTGGGGCTCCTCCCCTCCTCTCCTGAGCATCAGGGCTCCTCCCCTCCTCCCCTGAGCACTGGGGCTCCTCCCTCCTCTCCTGAGCACTGGGGCTCCTCCCCTGAGCACTGGGGCTCCTCCCCTCCTCTCCTGAGCACTGGGGCTCCTCCCTCCTCCCCTGAGCACTGGGGCTCCTCCCTCCTCTCCTGAGCACTGGGACTCCTCCCCTGAGCACTGGGGCTCCTCTCCTGAGCACTGGGGCTCCTCCCTCCTCTCCTGAGCACTGGGGCTCCTCCCTCCTCTCCTGAGCACTGGGGCTCCTCCCTCCTCCCCTGAGCACTGGGGCTCCTCCCCTCCTCTCCTGAGCACCGGGGCTCCTCCTCTCCTCTCCTGAGCACTGGGGCTCCTCCCTCCTCTCCTGAGCACTGGGGCTCCTTAAGGCAGACTCATCCCTCCCTCCTGTTACAAACTCTTCCCTCACATAGCCGTGGGCTCCTGAATCCCACTGAGTAAAATCAAGCTATTGCATAGTTGAAATGTTTGCTGGTGCAACTATCCAAATTATTTTTACCTCGATTGAATTAAATGCTGCTGCAGCTTTTATGGCGTGGAGTAGAAAATGCAATCACATCAAAAGGTGCCCTGGAAATGATAAGGAATGATGAAAACAGTCCTGTCTGAAAACAGGTTATGTATACAGCAAGAGCGGTGGCAGGTAAACGGTCCCAAAAACATGGCTAAGAGGACAGGACCACAGTTTAACATTCCTTACACATTTGGGGACGGCATTGCATTTGGGGTCCCAGCTGGAGCAGAATTTTAGCTCTCTGCTCGTGGAAGTAGAGCGTGGCTGTAATACCACAGCTGCTGACTCAGCCCCTGCTGCCAACCGCTGGGGGAACAGACCCAGGAAAGGATAGACAAGCTGGCTAATCAGTAACCTAAGGACAGCAGGGTCCTATCTGACACTGGGCCTTCCTAAGGAGACGGAAAGCAGTGAACCTCTGTAAAAGCTTAGAGGTAAGCAGTGGTGAAGCCGGGCAGTGAGGGGCTGGATGGGGGGCTGGGAAGAGGCAGGCAGAGGGAGTCGGGAGAGGAAGGCAGTCAAATGGAGGGAAGAGAGAGAGAGAGATGGTGCAGGAGCAATCCAGGGAGGGGAGCGGGCCCGGAGCTGGGAAAGAAGCTGGACCGTCACCAGGTGTGGACTTGTGGGTCCTCCTACAGCTCCCAGTTCTACCTGGGACAAGGGGAACAGCCACTGCAGGCTTTGAAGTGTGGAATAAACAAAGGCCTCCGGGTGTGGACAGGCAAAGGTTGTTTATTCAGGGCTTGCTGCAGTGAGTGGGCTGGGCAGGCAGAGATGCTCTCACAACAAGAAAGCTTCCCGGTGAACACACAGAGCCCCAGCTGTGCCCTGTTGGAGGCCAGGCTCTGGGGACACCAGAGCTCTAATGAGAGGCAGGCATCCTGGGGGCCTATCTGGCTTTCTGGTTGGTCCTGAGTTGGAAGCAGGGACAAAAATTAGGAAGCTGTCAGCACCGATCAAGTCTTGGCCCTCCAGAGCTGACTGTCACAGGGGTTACTGTTGAGCTTCCGGGGCTGTCACTAAAGATGGCAATCTGGCTCCCTGCAAGCCTGACACGGCCACTGGCCTCCTGGGCTATGTATTGCAGATAAAGAGTTGGCTTTCTGGGCAGGTGTGGGTCAGAGTTCTGCTTTTATATACGATCCAGTCTTGAACCCTTGCGTGTTCAATTCCTCAGAAGCAGAGGTGTTGGATGTAATTGCATTTGTGTTTTAGAAAGACCCATTCTCTGCTTGGCTGAAGTTCCAGAGAAGGGGCCTGGTCCAGGGTCTGGGCATGGGGACTCCGTGCCTGGGGAGAGGCCCACGCAGGCGGCTGCCACAGGAGGATGCAGAACGCAGGGCTGCTCGGCCTCTGGAGGACCCAGCCGCTGACCGCTGTCACAGGCCACAGCAACACTGGGCTCCAAGAAAACCGGAGACTCTTCCATGGCGTTTCTTCGTCCCCAGCAAGAAATGAGAGTTCTTTTTTTTTTTGAGATGGAGTCTCACTCTGTCTCCCAGGCTGGAGTGCAGTGGCGTGATCTTGCCTCATGGTAGCCTCCACCTCCCGGGTTCAAGCTATTCTCCTGCCTCAGCCTCCCAAGTTGCTGGGACTGCAGGCACATGCCACCATGCATGGCTAATTTTTTGTATTTTTAGTAGAGACGAAGTTTCACCATGTTGGCCAGGATGGTCCCAATCTCCTGACGTCGTGATCTGCCCGCCTCGGCCTCCCAAAGTGCTGGGATTACAGGCGTGAGCCACTGCGCCCCGTTAAGAGTTCTTATTGAAATCAGAATACCTTATAGAAATAGGGCTCTAATCAGTCTTTTAATTTCTATTTTTGAATTTTTAATTCCATTTTATTTCTATTTTTCTTTCGGCTACCGTCTCCTAATCAAGGGCAGGGCGCACAGCGGGACAGGACAGCAAATCACTGACTTCAGTCGCTAAAGCTTCATCCTCCTTAACAATGACTCTCCTCCGTCCCACCCCTCACCCCACTTGAGGACATATTCTGGAATTTCCAATGTTTGCTCCTGCAATGCATTTTCCATCCTGGGTGACAGGAAGTGTCTGGTTCCAGGGCAATGAAGCAGCCACAAGGCCTCTGTGTCAGCGCTGGAGAGAAACAGCTTCCGTCCTCCTGTCCCGGACCCTCCTGGAGGGATGCTCCCAAGGCTGAGTGAGACGACACAGCCATTTCCCGCATGCTGCCCGGCACTGACCCGCCCGTAGCACTTGTCCCGGTGCTGGTCTGCAGCAGCAGTGAGGGGGACCCCTTTGTGTGAGGGCTGCACTGGCCATCATTCAGGAAAAAGCAGTAGAGCCTCTGCAGTCTTTGAAGGCCCTCCGTGCCTCCAGCGCATCGGCCTTAGGACAACGCTCCTCACGGGGGTCTCTGAGGTCTGCCTGGAAGACACTCTTCCAGCCCACCGGGTCCTGCAGCCAAAGTGCGTGGTGTCCCCTGGCCCTGGAACGAGTATCTGTGTGACCCCGCAGGTCCCTGTAGAAGCAGCCCCTCCCTCACGGAGCCTCGCATTCCTTGTTGCTTTTCGGCTTTCTTACCTGGCCTCCACTGTCAATCCTTGAGGTGGCCTGGTGCTCTAGGGACTTCCTACATTGACGGGTGTGTGTTGGGTTTAGAAAGAAGCTATTGTAGAACCGTCCAACGATGGAGCCTTCAGGGGCGCCGTGGCCCCGGAGCACATGGCGGCAAGCTGGAGAAGCTGGGCAGTGCCCAGGAGTTGGCACGTGGGGACTCGGTTCGCTAAGAGTTCGCTGAAAGCAAATCCATGTTTTGCATGAGCAGCCTGTGTGTCTCCTGGCTCTAAACGGTGCCTTGTTTTGTCTGGCTGTGGCCGGGATCTGTGATTCCCTGGGAGGCATTTCACCTCACTCAGAGTCACAACGTTCAAGCAATGACAAGAACAGTGCCTAGAGTAGAATACCATCTAAATTTTATTTATGTTCATTTATTCACTGTCAATTGTCCTTTTTATTTCACCAAATTTCAAACTATTAGAAACAGCGGAGGTTATGGAACCCAGAGTCAGGCAGATCCTCAGAGTTTGTCTTTATTGGCAACGGTGAGCACAGAACTCACGTATGTTTGTCTCAGAAAGATCACAGATGCACAGGTGCTTAGGAGAACTGACACCAAGCATGTGGAAGGAATTTAACTTCTTCATGTGTTGGTGCAACTGAAACAAATTCACGCCTAATCTGGGGAGGCCTGCATGAGCTACTGGATTGGTTGAGGAAGATGAGATAATGTGAGACCCTATTTAATAGAAAGATTTTTTTACGTATAATTCTCCACATATAATTTAGGGAAAATAGTCATTTATTAAAGGACTCTCAGGGACTTGTAGTTGAGAAAATGTCAACGATTTGGGTTAAGGGACATGTTCATTAACTCTTGAGATTTATAGAATAGTTGTGAGTGGCTGACATTTACTGTCTACTATTTATGTTTCACAAGTATGTATGATTAATAATTAATATTTACAAAGTACTTCCTCAAAAATCTTCTGGTGCTCATGACAATCCTGTAAGGTAGATATCGTGGGTATTTTATATCTACACTATATTTTAAAGCTAAAAGAACTAAAGCCAAAATGAGTAGTTGGCTTGCTCAGGGCACCCACCCAGCCAGCATGTGGAGGTGTCTGAAATTAACCTCAGGCCTCTGATTTCCAAAACCCATCTCTTGCCCAAGGTCCCAGCTCACGACTGGAGCGTAAGCCTCTTTGAACAGATCATGGCTTATGTATGTATTCACGTGTAATCTCCACAGTAGCTATGCTAGGCCGTTGCATGTACATGAAGGTACGTGAAGGAATGGATGGAATTCTCTTACATTAGGGAAGAAGCTAACCTCCCAGCTGAATTTTGGCGTTAGCACGACACTTAGCGTTTTTCTTGGCTGTTAAAATAAAGTGTAACAGGGTGGCAGGAGAGGATGACATACCACCACTAAATAAAGGAAATCAGACCCCCAAAGGTGTGTACTTGGCCTCTCTGTTTCTGTTGGTTCATTGTCTTTTTCTGATTCAAAAACATATTTAAATTTTTGAAGTACTTAAAACAAAAAAACAAATGCGAATACCACATACCCATTCCTCATGCCCTCACCAAAGGGATCTGGGGCAAATTAGAATGTTGCTCCATTTCCTTCAAATATTTAATTTTCAAACAATAAGTAATGTGTAAAAACTGCAGCGAAACCCCTCCCTCCATCACAGAGTTAGCCACAGTTCTGAAGTCAGGGCAGATGTCTGTTAAGTTTTCCTATATTTACGTATATTTACAGGTACATGCATGTACCTGTAACACCACCAAGCATCCTTTTACGTTTTCACGTTTTGAATAAACGTCATCATTTTTCCAATGTGCGTATTCACTCAATGGTACCTCAGGATATGTGACAATTACTAGGAGAATATTTACTGAGCTCTTTGATAAGACAGACTTGGTGTCATTCACTCACGCAGGTCCTCCCACAGACGTGCGAGGAGTAATCACTCCTCACCAGGGGCTGGGACATGGACCCACCGGGGCTGTGCCCGCACCTCCACATGCCCGTGTCTGCCCCGTGCTGCCCTTGACCGGGCCATACCCCCACTGACCAGGCCAAAGTTCATCCGCCCATTCCTCTAATGATGGACTCTTATGTTGCCGTCTCAAGCAATGTTGCAGCAAACATCCATTTCTCTGTCTTTCTGTCCAGGCAAGCAAGACTCTGCATAGATACCCCCATGTCTCTCCCAGGTGGCTGTATGTGTTTCTTCTGTCACAAACTACCATAGACTTGGGGGCTTAAAACACAGCAAATTTATCCTCTTACTGTTCTGGAGGGCGGAGGTCCACAGTCATTCTCCCTGGGCTGAGGTCCGGGTGTTGGCAGGGCTGACTCCTGGAGATTCTAGCGAAGAAACTGTTTCCATGCCTTTTGCAGCTTCTAGAAGCCAGTGGCTCTGGGCCTCCTCTTCCACCGTGAAAGCCGGGAACATCGGTGAGTCCTTCTCAAGCTGCACTCTCTTATCTTCTCCCTTCTGCTTCCCCCTTCCTCTCATGAGGACCCCCGTGACTATCACACTGGGTCCACCCGGACAATCAGGGATAGTTTCCCGTCTCGGGTCAGTTGATAGCCACCTAATTCCCTCAGCAAACTTCATCCACCTTTGCCACATCACCTAACATATCCACAAATTCTAGGGATTAGGACATGGACATCTCTCGGGGACCATTGTTCTTCTGACCACACACCCACCTGCCATGCCCAAGACTTCCAACTTTCTCACTTCCAAACCTTGGTATTGTCAGGCCGTTGTAATGGTGCCAAATGGAACAGATATCAAATGGTGTTTCATTATGGTTTTAATGTGCATTTATCGGTTTATAATGAGGTTGAACACTTTCCATGTTTTTCTTGGCCTTCTAGTTTCCCTTGTGAATTAACCTCTACATATCCTTTTCCCCATTTTTCTCATTTTTTTCATTGATGTGTAGGAGTCCTCAAATGTGGACACTAGTTTTTGGTGAGTGGTAAGTTACAGGGTTTGCGAGTATCACTTCCCCAGCTGAGGCTTGTCTATAAATTTGTTGATGGTGTTTTGGCTGAGCGCAGGGTTTTGGGTCAATGTCAACAAATTTAGGGATCTTTTCATTTATGATTTGTGGGTTTTAAAAAATCATATTTGGAGAGCTCCTATATAGTCTACTATTATACAGCTATTCCTTATTGTTATTAGCAGTTTAGCATCTTTGCCTTTTGCCTCGAGGTGCCCGTGATACTTGCCCTTGTGTGGGAGGAGAGCTCTGCTGCTGATTCCGGGTGCCTGTCCCCCATGACCATCTTCTCACCGCTGTGGATGGATCTGCTCTTTCCCACTGGCCTGTGCTGACTCCGGCTCTCTGGGCATCAGGTATGTGTGGTCTCCACCTGGGGACAGAGCAATTCTCTTTCACGGTTTATTTCTTCATCCTCTGTGCCACGTTAGTCAATTCTGCAGCTTTTGAAAAAGGCTTGATAATGACTCTCAGCCAAATATCGCAGCTTTTCTTCTTCGATGCTGTCTCGGCCATTCCGGCTCTTTATACTTGTGTGTGAATCACAGCATCATCTTGTCCAGTGAAAAGCCTCTGCTTGGTTTCAATGGAATTGCATTTAAATTTATGGGCTGACTTGGGGAATTATGACTATCTTCATGACAAGTCTTCATGTCAGTTAACCTAGTTCTATTATAGGCACCTCAGCAAGTTTTTAATTTTTTTTCTTAAAATTATGCCCATATTTTCTTACATGTATCCCTATATGCCTTTTCTGTATAATAAATAAAATTGGAGTTTTAAGTGAGGTGCATGCACCTGTATGTATGTTACTGTGTTTATTTTGTATCCTGCAACCTTCTTAAAGCCTCTCATTCGTTTTAGGAGTTTGCCTGTGGGTTCTGTTGGATTTTCAGCGCCTGCAGTCAAACCAGGCAGAGTGGCTGTTTGAACCCAGTACATAACACTCCTCTTTCCTACCCAGGTTCTGAAGCAAAAGCAAAGTCAAAATTTAAGCAGCCAAAGGTTATACCTTTGAGAACATATATTGGAGAAATATATATATTTGAGAAAATACTGGTATTATATCTGCGGAAAAGTGGGCTACCCAATATTGAGCCGTGAATTCACAGATTTGCCCACCTGATCCTCACAAGATCCTGCTGGGATGAGGGCCTTGTCACTCAGCTGCCCACACGGCTCAGGAGAACAGTTTGAGTGGCTCCCAACAGCAGAGGAGAAGGAAAGGGCAGGGTTGCTGCCAGGGCCCGAGCACACGCTTGGGACTCAGTGCCAAAGGGCAGATGCTGAGCTCCTTGTTCCACAAGCAGGGCCCGGTGCTGTGAAAGGCACTTGAGTATAAAGCGTCTTCCTTTCATTCTGCGGTTTCTTCCTCAACTTGTCAGGATGTGTATTTGCTATTTAATGTCATTCAAAGTATAGAAAATTAAAATTTTAAATTACGGGCATGAATTTTGCTGTTTGTCTTTATACTGCGGGCCAGTGTTACAAAATTATAAGTTGCGTGCAGAATCATTGAAGCTGCAGAATCGCAGAATCATTGAGGCTGCACGGTGTGTCTGTAGCTCTCACGTGCATTTGCATTTTATTCTTACCAGAACCGTGCAATGCTCCAGGTGAACCTGGCATGCACGCCCCACCTGCAGGCTGCACCTCCAGCTCGCTGACAGGTAGGGAACGACTAGGAGCGGAGAAGCGTGGTCATCCTCTTCCCCTTTCCTCTGTGTCCTCATACCCAGTCCAAGTGAAAAGGCGAGCATTTGGGGACAGATGTGCTGGGACTCCTGGCACTCATGTTTCTCAGGATGGCATTGCCTTCTCTAGTGTTAGATGTAGGTTCTGGTTTGAGAGGAAAGTGTGGCCTCTGAGGCTGTTCTGCTCAGTGGTAAATGCTACACGCTCACTGTGTGGGTGCTTCAGGTCTGGCTGCACAGCTGCCATCGCAGGTCTGTGCTCATGGGCATCGTGGCTGCTCTGTGGGGACCAGGAGGCAAGGAGCAGTAGCAGACGTGCGTGTTAGATGAACCTCCCCTACTCACAAGCAATCTCTGTCAGCCTTGGGGGCATCACTTACAGAACACAATTCAAAGACAAAATTATCAAGATTTTCAAGACAGCAATGACAGAGCACTACACTAAGCTGGCGGCTAAACTGACTGACCAGTCACAGGCTGGAAGTTGGGCCCTGGCCACAGGCCCAGCTTCTTCTCCCGACATCATCGGCCCCCCCTCCGCCCCCCGAGTCACTCTGCTTTCCCCACAGGGAGCAGGTGGGAGCTGCAGAGAAGTGTCCAGAAAAGACTGCTGGTCAGTGGAATTTCCTTTACGTGGAAAGTGGAAGTCAGGGAGGAATGGACGTTTTGACTGGAAATTCCAATCCTACTTTCTGTGCGTTTTTCTAGCATGACTGTAAGTGCTGGAGCCACCACCACCATGCTCAGCAGCACCCAGGAAGCAAGAGCAGTTGACAGAATGTTCGTGAGGATTCCTTTTGGTTTTTACTTTTTTAAAGCCCCTTCTAATCTCATAATTTCTGTGACTTTGGGTAAATACACTATGATCATAAGGTAAGGAAAAGTTAACCTTTTTAGGTTAGGAAAAGTTCTAATTCACATGCATATATATTATTGCAAAATGGTGTGAACATTTAATATTTTTTGAGATCATTGATATTTTTCATTTACTATGTTAATAAGATGAATCCCATTAACAAAATGTCCATTGCTAAACCAATTGTGCATTCATGGGATGAACAATGTTTGGTGATGGGGTTTTTGTTTGTACTTTTAAATGATACTTAAACGTAACTAGGGAGAAGATAAGCTCCAGAGCACCCGGCACAGCACCAGCAGGCTCAGTCGATTGCCCGTCTTCTCATTTACCAAACCCACGTAGCCACCCCCACCTCAGATGGATTTTTTTTGCAAAGTCCAGACATTCAATTATTTATAATGTGTCTTTTTAGGACACTGCCGAAATTAGGTTGTAAATGTTTTTTAGGATTGTATCTTATGTTCATAGAAGAAATTGGCCTATGAAATTTCTTTCCTATAATACTCACATCTGGTTTTCATCCCAAAGCTAAACCAGCCCATAAAAGCAGCTGTGATGGTTTTCTTCTTCTTATATTTCAATAAATGGTATGTAAAAGACAGGAATCATATGTTCACTCAAAATTTGTGGACCTGATTGTATAACCATCTGGGCCTTGGATGGTTTTTGTGAATTTTTAAACATTTACTCTCTTAAATGCTTACGTCTCACCAAGTTTCTCTCTATATTTTTAAGTCGGCTTGCAAATGTATGCTTTACTAGGAAATCTTCTATTTCATCTAAATTTTTAAGTTTAGTAAAATAAAGTTGCACATGCGTTTCTCTTAAGATTTGAAACATCATTACCACGGATGCGACTATATTGTTTTCATCTGTAGCATTGCTTTTTTCCTGCTTTCCCCATTTTCTGCCTCTGATCAGTTTCAGCCCAGGGTGTACCAATATTATTCCTTTCACTAAAGGAATTGTTTCTGTCTTTTTCTAACTTTATTTTTTTAGATGATCTTGCCAGCAGTGCATTAATATTGCCCATTTTTCCAAAGAACCAGGTCTCATTTGCACTGGTGTCTCTATTTTTCCTTCATATCCTATTTCACTAATTTCTGCTCTTGCTTTCATTATCCCCTTCTTTTGGTTTTCTTTGGAATTACTCTGTGTTTCCAAATTGTTTGCTCAGCTAATGGGTTTTCAGTCTTAGTACCATGTTAGCTAGCTCCGACAACTTTAGTATGGAGTGTTTTTGTTGGTATTAATTAGTAAATTGTTTTTCGTTTTCATTATTCTTTCTAATTTGACCATAAATTATTTAAAAGGTCTTTGTAAACTTCCAAACCGAAGAAGTTTTGGTGAATTGTCTTTTTGTTATTATTTTCTAAATCACTGTGAGGTCAAACACTCTAGACTAGATGCTGATGAGTCCTGTAGTTTTGTGGTTCTTGTGTTTGTTGAGACTTCCCTTGTGATCTCCTGGGGTAAGTTCTCAGAGATTCTCCCTGTGTGCTTGTTGCTGGCAGGATTTCAACCGCATTGATGAAAAAGGGAGCCCTTCACTTCCTCTGTGTGTGTACATATTTATTATCTGCTTGCAGGTATGATGAATTATGTTGCTATGACTCTAGATTTGTGCGTTTTTCTTTGAATGTTATCCCTTTGTGCTTTATATAGTTGAATACTGTCTTGGTCTGTACTTTAGAAGTGTTTTTTTTTTTTTTTTTCCCTGAATGGCTCTTTTTATCATTACACGTTGGCGGTTTATGTCCCTAATAATGCTTCTTTCTCTAAATCCAGTCCAGCCTGTCATGTTGTTATAATGCCTTCTCTTTGGTCTTTGCATTTTCCTGTTAGCTCTGCTCATATCCCTTTACATTCTGCCTTTCCGTGATACTGTGTTTTAAGTGTGTCTCTCTCTCACACTTTAATAGCTAGTTAGATTCATTTACAATCATTTAATTTATTTAAATTTATTTCCAATACCTATTTTATGTTTGCTCATGATCATACTTTTTCTTTGTTTTGTCCACATGAGTTTGATTATAATTTCTTAAATTCTTTTTATTCTCTCTACTAGTTGGAAAAGTATGTATTTTATTTCAGGAGTTGTTTTTACATATTTTGACACACATATTTGTCTCAAGAAAGTTTAAATTTATGACAATTTTTTTTCTTCTTTCATGCAATGCAAATACCACAGAATGCTATCAATCCATGGACACCTTGTCCAGCCTCCTATGCTATTACTCTCTGTGCTTTAGTTCCATCATGCCTTATTGCTTCCATGGACAGCATCACTCTTGGAGTGATCATTCAGTCTTCCTTGAATCAGCCCTCCATGGATGACATAGTTATTGGAATAACTATGTCATCTAAGCGAATGATCGCTTAGTCTTCCCTGGATCAGCCCTCCATGGATGGCATCTCTCTTGGAGTGATCGCTCAGTCTTCCCTAGAATCAGCCCTCCATGGAGGACATGACTGTTGAAGTGATCGCTCAGTCTTCCCTGGATCAGTCCTCCATGGATGGCATCGCTGTTGAAGTGATCACTCAGTCTTCCCTGGATCAGCCCTCCATGGATGGCATCGCTGTTGAAGTGATCGCTCAGTCTTCCCTGGATCAGCTCTCCATGGATGACATTGCCCTTGGAGTGGTTGCTCAGTCTTCCCTAGAATCAGCTCTTTAATCGGCTTTTGCTGATTTACTAGATGATCAAAAACAAGGATATAGGAAGTGAAAATTAGATTAAGATGAACAAGCATGTTATAACTAAAATGAAGAAGAAAATAAATAATGGGAGAAAAAGAAAAACTTAGAAGCAAATTATCCTGTCTATCTATCTATCTATCTATCTATCTATCTATCTATCTATCTATCTATCTATCTATCTATCCATCTTTCTATCTATCAGCTTTGAATAGAAAGGAGAGAACTTTAATGCTTCATTTGAGACCCTTTTGGGGGTTAACAGCACCAATCCCCTCAGTTCAAAGGTCAACATCAGGGAGTTGCTGGATTCAGAAACTCCACTGCTGAGTCGGGACAATCTGTGCTTACTGCAAACACAGAGGGGCGAAGCCAGGCATCTGCAGAGCTGCGATGGCATCACAGTGGCCAGGGAGGAGTGACAGTTGTGCTCCCAGTCCAGCCAGCAGATAACCTCCTGTCCCTGAGGAATCATAAGCCACAGCTGTGGATGGGGTTTCTAAGTCCCTTCCTTCCAGATGAGCACTCCTCTCCCTTCCCCACCCACGTCACATCATCTCCTGGCTCTGTTTGTGCTGAGAAGTCTCTCAGGGCCAAGCATGTGGTAAGGCCAGAGGATTTGGACATTCATACGTGCTCGAGGTCATCAGGTCTCAGGCTATGGGCACAGGGCGATCCTCTCCCCTCAGCTGCTGAAATACAGCCAGAGGTAAAGCAGGCATGAGTTTCCGCCTTCAAGAATGAATGTCCCTGGGCAGAAGTGGGCAGTCAAGGGAGAAAGGCCAGGGAGAGGAGGGGGCCACCAGGTCCCAGGAGGGACTGACCTGCTCAGCACAGAGGTTGTCAGTGTGGGGCTGCGTCCTGGCCATTCTCAGGGCCTCCCACATTTCCTCCCACCCTCCACACCACCAGTGAACACCTCTAATGGCCCCACGCTGTGCAAACAGCCAAGACGTCAGAGTCCCCTCGGTGCAAAGACGGGGACAGGCAGGTCCACATGGGGGCAGGGAGACCACGGCCGCCTCCATGTAGACGCTCTGCCCATTCCACGGGTCATCTCCTAAGTGCCACGTGGGGAGACCAGGTCCTGCCATGAGGGAAGCAGAGGCATGTGTCCCCTGGGATGGCCGCCATGTGGTCAAATGTGAGTCTGCCGGGGCTGCGAGGACCAAGTCCACAGACAGGGCCTTAACACTGTTGCTGGCTGAGCACCCAATATCCAAATGCTGGCAGCACTGGCTGCTCCTGGGGCCTTTCTCTGTGGCTTGTGGTTGCTCATATATTCCCTTGCTCTGTCAGCGGAGAGGGCCTAGAACCATCGCCCTGGTCAAAGCAAGCCCAGCCAACATCCACACCTTGGTCCCTAAACCACTCTCCTGCAAAGGGAAGAATGGCTGGTTCCAGGAGAGAGGCAGGAAGACACAAGATGGACCTGAAACGTTTCACCTCCCTCCCTCCTCAACATCCAATAAGGACCGTGGGCGTGGCTGCACAACAAGGAAATAAGTGTACTTAATGCCACTGAGTGGTGCACTTAAAAAGTCCCAAAACGAGATTGCAGTGAGTCGAGATTGCACCACTGCACTCCAGCCTGGGCAATAAAGCGAGACTCAGTCTAAAAAACAAAGAAGAAAAAGAGCCAAACTGCCAGTCTAGTTAAGTAGATTGCATTAGCATTCTCCAGAGAAACAGACAGCAGGATGTGAGTGTGTGAGTGTGTGAGCCTGTGTGGTGGGGGAGGGGATGTGCAGAGAGAGAGCTGGTAAGGAATCAGTTCACATGGCTGTGGAGGCTGGCAGGTCCATATTCTTATTTATGTACTTACCTATTTTGAGACAGAGTCTAACTGCTGGAGTGCAGTGGCTTGATCTCAGCTCACTGCAACCTCAACCTCCTGAGTTCAGGTGATTCTTGTGCCTCAGCCTCCCAAGTAGCTGTGATACAGGCATGAGCCACCACACCTGGCTAATTTTTGTATTCATATTTTTAGTAGAGATGGAGTTTCACCATGTTGGCCAGGCTGGTCTTGAATTCCTGGCCTCAAGTGATCTGCCTGCCTCGGCCTCCCAAAGTGCTGGGACTACAGATGTGAGCCACCGTGCCTGGCAGTATTCTCCTGGGTGGACTGGGAGGCTGGAGGCCCAGGGCAGCATTGATGTGTCTCATATTAAAAGGGCATCTGGAGGCAGAATGCCTCATTCCTCTTTCCTTACTCAGGGGACCGCAGTCTTTTTTTTAAGGCCATCAACTGATTGGATGAGGCCCACCTACATTACAAGGAAATCTGCTTTTCCGAGTCCACAGACCTACATGTTAATCTCATCTAACTATACCTTCCTAGAAATATTTTGAATAACATTTGATCAAATATCTAGGCACCATGGCCTAGCTAATTGGTTACATAAAATTAACCATCACATATATTTTACCACAATAAAAAAATCAAATATATTTCCCTGATA